TACCACCATGATAAAATTAGTCATTAGCAAACTTATCAGCAAAGACTTTCAAATATTTTTCTTATACATAAGTGCTTAATTAGTGAATAATCCTTGACAATTCTCACTACAAAAGTAAACATACCTAAAAGTCCCATTCCATACTATTCCTGCTGAGTTTTTTACTGGTATCCCCTGCCTAATTAAGTTTTCTAAATTCCCCGGTTCTTTACATACTCAGCAGGTGGCTCATAAACTAGCAGGGTCAAACTTTTTTTTGCGGGTTTTAGGAACTGCCTCGGTTATTTCGGTTTCATTCATAAATGTCTATTGGGTAAGTTTATTTGAAAAGATTATTAATGGCTTCATCCAATTTCCCCCAGGCATTTTTTATGATTTTCTCTAATTCTCTTAATTGGGCTTGCTCTTGGCTGGTAGTGGTTTCATGATTATAAACTTCATTTCATAAAGGGACATATTTTTGTTGGTGAATTTGTTTGGCTTTGTCCAGTAGCGACTTATACTTTTCATAAAAAAGTCGGGCATTGATAGTTTGGGTAATAGCCTCGTCTAATTTCTGAATGATTTGCTGACCAATCTCCGCCACCTCCTTTACTCTTGACATAATTTTTCTAAACTAACTCTTTTTTCTTGGAGTAAGTGCTGTTTATTCTCGATTTCTTTTAATAGGCTTTTCAGGCTTTCCTGACGGGCTTGTTGAACTTGCTTAATCGGTTCTCGCATTTTCTCTTTTAGGAGGTTAAACTTTTCCTGGGAGTGCTGGATAGTAGCATCTACATAGTTTAGATTATTCATATCATAATTTTAATGCTTTTTTAAAAATAAGGCTGGATAACAGGATTTTTACTTCCTAAACACTTACCAAACTTGCTAACCATATTTTTAAAATACCCAGTAGTCCAGCAGGCTTTTACTCACTAATTATCAGTTATAAAATAAATTAAAAAATTATGACAAGATGTGCCAGTGAGCGAATTAATGTTAAGCGTGGTGAAATATATGAAGATTATGATGAATACATTCATGTAATAAGATATCTCGACCTTGACCGTGGAGACTTTTGTTGTGATGAAATGTGTAATAACTTGTTAGGCGAAGGAGATGGCAGATGTGAATTATGATTTGATTATGACCCGATAATGAGAAGTTATGCACTTGTTGTTAGACCTGAATATGGAGGGTCTGTCTGTTTGATAAAGTATTGTCCTTGATGTGGGAAAAAACTTCCCAAAAGTCTTCTCGGTGAGTTCATTGAAGAGTTGAAAAAGGAACTTAATATAGAAACTGATGTTGGTCTTGGGGAATTAAGGCAAAGACCTAATATTCCCCAGGAGTTCAAAAGTGATGAATGGTGAAAAAAAAGAGGTCTATAATGCCCCCTCTCCAATTAACAAATCTACTTTTAGCCGCAAAAAGCCTCCTTTTGCGGCTGGGGTTATTCTAATAATTGAGTTCTAATTGAATTATTAAACATAC